TTTCCCATGGCCGCGAATCGGGAGATTGATTCGAAGCTTTGTCATTTGCAGATTTTGAATTTTCGATCGATATTGAAACTGTCCGCAGGAAAAGGGGTCTCAACTCACTGTTAACCGATAAAGCCCGAATTAACGAATAAAGAAGGAGATTTAATTAAAATATAGGTTAACAAGGCTAAAAAGTATTGAAACACTAGAAGGCAGGACATTTCGAGCTGCTACCAGCTCATTTTCAGCTGCAAAAACCCATAAAAACAAGTAAAAAATTGAGTGGCGACCTGACAATTATCATATCGGGTGGGTGTTGCGCCTTCAATACAGACAATGGGCACAATCGGATACACGGGAGTTTATATAGTGGTATCGATCTATGAGTTGGTGAGGTGGGAGCTCTTTGTCAATTCTTGGGAGCTATTTTGTGAAGAGTGTTCCAGGGAAATTAAACCTCGTTATACTTGAATGAATAATGAGGAAATTAGAAACTTAATTCGACCTCGGTATTTCGGTAAAATGGAGAGAAGTTTGTTTGATAACTGACAAAAGGCGCCTTTTAAAATTATGAATGAAACCGAGAACATCAATGTCGCGATAAAATAGTAACCGCATATATTAGGCAAGGAATAGAACTATTTTTGCTTTCCATTCATGACTTGGGCAAATGCGGATACCAATGAATTTTAAAATCTTATAAATTATGCGTAAAGTAATGAACTGTTCTACTGAAAAGAATTTCTCGGATATTCTTTTCTTTGTATTCTTGAATTCATTTTTTAGTTTCCACGAAAAAAAACCGGCAACGGGAAATACTCTACCGTACAACGCAAAAGCGCCGTAAACGCTATTTGACATATTTAGGAAACAATTTGTCGTAGAAGAAGAACGTATGTTGGGACAATGCTTTTACAGAATTTTTTCGAAAATTCTATCAAGAAGTTAACCTGAAAATTTGAGGTGCATTGGTAAAACAGTTTTTTATTTCATAAATCAGTGTTAAGTTCCAAAAACGAGGGAAAATCTAGATGGAATCACGGCGTTTTTGCTTAGCACAACAGTATTGGAAAATCTCAAACCACCGTATCACTGTTTTTAACGGAGCGTTTTACAAATATTCCAGCACGAAACGGCCCTAGAACTTCGAAAACTCGGAATAATTCTGAATTATCATTATTTTTTTTTTAAAATCACACCGAATAAGTGTAGTCATCGCGCCGGATAGGGTCCATGATTTACGTTCACGGGCTTTCGAAAATGTAAAAACGCCAGCATCAGAAACTCTGAAATAAATCTCCGACACCCAAAAGCAAAACATACAATTGTAAAACAGAACAGGCAAGGAAACACAGGGGGGGAAAAAAGCAAAAAGCCGAGGAAAAATAAGAGGAAAAGTGGGATGAGGAGGAGATACAGAGAGCAAGATTGGCGAAAAGGGGTAGAATAGGTGTGGGGGAGGGGGCGCAAATGTAAGAGCGCATGGAGCGTAGGGTTGCAAATGCGGTGAGCGAATAATAAAATTATAAATTATATAGTTGGGCGCTGCTTTTGAATAAATACCGCAAAGTTTGATTGCAGAGGAGAGTGCTTGTCGAATATGTCCAAAAACCCGCGGATTCCCACTCGAGTGGGGTGATAAATTCAGGGGGTTTGGCAACGTCGCTGGAGGAACAGCCCTCCCAATTTCCTCAGGCCCTCGTTCTTTCGTTTTTTTAACGCGCGTAATTCGTGAGCAATGTTCGTTTAACCAAGAATGGGCACGAACAAGGGAAATTCGTCTTCGTTCGAGGTGGTGATTTTAAAATCCGCCCCAGGGATCGCTCCGTCCTTTCAAACGGACCCGAGGGATGGTTTGAGATAATGCACCGCTTCCAGGGAAATTCGCCCCCCTCCGAGCCGGCAGCCGCGGTTTCAGCCTTTAATTTCGGCCGCCGCGAGAGTTCGGCTATTGTCGTGCAGCCTGCTCGCTCTAGCGGCAAAAAGTCGGAGTGAATTTGCATCGCCGATACATAATTACTTTCCGATGAGCAGCCGGTAGGATCTCAATGTTCGTCCGATGAGACTCATCATTTCTGCCGTGCGAAGGAAAAACGGAGTATGAGCCTTCAGACGTTGCCATATTTTCTTTTATAACCAACCAATTTACTGGGAAAATTCTGTATATTTTTCTTCCAATTTTTCGGACGATTTTGTTTCCAATGGAGAATTTGAACGCAAATTTTTTATTGCTTCATCTGAAAGTGCCTGAAGAGCTGATTTTGCAGTTTTTTTATAATTTTTTCCGGCCATGGGAAATAGTATGAATATAGATTTAAAAGTGAGAAAATGCGTCGCCTAAAGATGTCATCTGGCGGCATTTCCCATTTAAACGCATGTATTTCAGAAAATTAGATCATTTTGTCATATCTTCTCCAATAATTGTTCAATTTATGAAGCAAGGGTATCCTCGTGTTCAGCTCACTTGGTACAGCGTCCGCTTACAGACGGAACTGATCAAATTTCAGACACCTGCAAATTCTCTATTTTTCGGACAATTTTATTCCCAATTTAATCTGAAATATCGGAAAATTTTAAGGAAAAATATGCATAACTTCCTTCAAAGTTTACACAAAAAGTGCTATTAAAGAGCAGAACCAAAATATTTTACTGATGAACGGAAAGCAGTAGTTTCCGGAGCCAGTTTCACCTCCCGCTCTCACTCGTTGACCCCTAAAAGCGATGCTTTTTTCACCCGGAGCAAAAGGGATCCCAGCAGCAGATAAAGACCCAGGTCGAGCAACGGCCCCACCACTTCAAGTGGCACCATCTCACCTCAATTCTAACGGCGCTTTTCGGGTTAATTAACTGCGGGGGAGATAGGGTTGCTTTCTTGCAGGTTGCGCATTTGTCAAACGACTCCCCCTCAGGACTCCGACATCAAGAACGAGACAAAGAGATCGCGATTTCGGGGCGAGATAAATTCTCACTGCTCTCCCGGATTAAAAGTCATCGACTGAGATCTCTGAGGGAAGTCGAGCGGTACGATATATCGATGGTGAAAATACCGAGCCACGTATTCCGGTTAGCATCGTTACAAATTTCTTTTCATGTTAGGTTTCTGAGAAGGGCCCAGTGATGCAAAATGAATAAATACATTTTCCTAGAAATTTCAAGGATTTTCCAGGTACTAGGTATGCAACCCACTACAATTATTATCCGAGACTCCGTCGAGTAACTTGAGCTGATTTCACAGTATTTTTTATAATTTTTCCCCGATGTGGGAAATAGTATAAAAATAGATTTAAAAGTGAGAAAATGCACCGCCTACTGACGTCAGCTGGCGGCATTTCCCATTTAAACACATGTATTTTAGCAGATTAGATCATTTTGTCTTATCTTCTCCAATAATTGCTCTATTAATGAACCAAGGGTATCTTTGTGTTCAGCTCACTCAGTACTTTCCACTTAAACACGAAATTCATCAAATCTCAGACACGTGCAAATCCTGTATTGCAAACAAAATTGCATGAAAAATTCAAAGAAAATATTGATAAGTTTACTAAGAAATGCGTGTTTTATCAAAGGAAATTTGGCAACGCCTGAAGCTTCTTAGGGCGTTTTTCCTTAGCACGGCAGTACAAGTTTTTAAAGTTTCCACATCTTGTCGGACCTCTCTCATTGACTCGATTCACTGTGTGGTGTGGACTCGCAACCCATCAACATCGAATCGATCTCCGCCAATTTCGAGACTATGCGAGGGGGACCCCGCGTCGAGACCTCCATCCCTGGTAATTAATTATCAGATTTCGCAGCGGAGAGATACCTAGTTCTACACGCGTAATTCGCAGTTAATACTCGCGACCCGTCGCGGCGGAGATCGCCCACTCCTCCGGCCCTTTGGGGTGCGCTCGCCCGTGAAATGATATTTGGGTGGGAGCGGGATTTTTTCGCCCCGCCCGGGAAGGGACAGCGCGACTTTCCGGAGGGACGCCCGGGATTAGGATCGGCTGTGACGCTATTTCGAGTGGTCTTCAAGCTTCGGCTTTTGTCACTTCCGACGGGATCCCTTACTTCTCTCGAGCCTCGGCGACACTGCCGAGCTGAACTGCCGTCCCAGGAAAAAAACGCCGTATGATCACTCGAATGTTGCCAAATTTCCTCTCACACTAGAAAAAAAAACACATTGGATCTAGAGTCCAGACTCTTGAAAACATTGCCAAGGAAAAGGACTCTTGATTCAATCAGATTTAAGCCTAAATCAAAAGGAAATCCGCTCAAATTAAGAGGCTTGGTACTTGATTTTAGCTTATATCTGATTGAATCAAGCGTATTTTTTCTTGTCGATGTTTTTAAGAGTCTGGACTCTAGATCCAATGTGTTTTTTTTCCAGTGCAGGAAATTTCAATTTTTTTTTGAAGGAATTTCATTTGAACATAACGTAACTACTACAAGTATTTCCTCGTATCTATTTACATTGTTTAAAACTAAAACTAAACGAATTGCATTAATTTTGCAGTGTAACTTGAGATACCACGATAATTATCTAAAAAAAAACAGGAATCGTGAAATTCTTTGCCTTTTTTTTTAGAGATATTAAAACATAAAGGTTTTGCGTTCATTTCTGAAGAGAGTTATGAACGTTTTCCCTTGAAATTTTTGAAATCTTTTAGATCAAATTACGAAGAGAATTCTGTAAGGAATTGAAAGAATAATACATGTAATTTTGCCCGAAAATTCATGATTTGTCAAAGGAAATTTGGCAACATGCGATGGTTGATACGTCGTTCTTCCTTAGCACAGCAGTAACGCCGTATGAACCTTTCTTCGTTGCCAAATTTCTTTCGATACCTCGTGACCTCCACGGCGGTAGTCATCGTAACTACCGCACGGTAGCTGGCGCAATTTTAACCAGCCGCTGGTTGTGTCGACTACCCTGTTTTTCTCCAAGTGCGTTGATACAACCTATAACCCTGTACCTTCTAAGCCATTCACAAAATGATATCTCATCGTTTTTTCGTCTTGTGTTGCAGGTTTCATCAATCAACCGAGTTCTTCGGAATTTGGCGGCGCAGAAGGAACAGCAAGTGTCAGCGCAAAGCGAATCAGTATACGACAAACTGAGGATGTTCAACGGGCAGCCCCCAGGGTGGGCCTGGTACCCCGGCTCAACCCCCACCCCCGCTCACCTCCCCTTGCCTCCCACCTCCCTCACCGGACACTCCGCCAGGGACGAAGCTCAGAAGAGGGGTAAGCATCAATTTCTCCTGTAATAAGTCATACGGACAAACAGGGCCGGATTCACCTACTTGCCGCCCATGGGCCGCCTACATTTTGCCGCCCCCTTCTCATTCGTTTTGAAACTCGATAAAAACCATCAAATGAACGTGCCAGCGGGGGAGGGGTGCAAAAGACGCATTTACTCGTGTTGAACACATTTTTTGGGAAAGCCCTGTCAATACTACCAGCAAAAGTTAACGAAACTTTGCGCAAAAGTGAAGTTCCGTAAACCTATCTCTGTGTAGACAAGGCCTTCCATTCATATGAAATGAACGAAAAAATGAAGAAAGAACAAACATAAATGCGGTTCAATAATTTTAACTTCCGCCGCCGCGCCGCGCAGACCGCACCGTGTTAGATGCAATGCGTGAAGTATTCCAACAGTCTTGTAGGCGCTATGCGTTTCACGCTGACCGCACTGTGTTTGGCGCAATGCGTGAAGTATTCATGCATTCTTGTAGGCGCTATCCGTTTCACGCTGACCGCAATGACCGCACTGTGTTTGATGCAATGCGCGAAGTATTCGTGCAGTCTTGTAGGCGCTAATATGTGTTACATACCGATCGCCGCGCCGAGGGCTTCTCCTTTTCATCTCAAGTCCTCGTTATCATTTCTCTCTAAATCGCGCCGTTCCAGGCCAAATTGCGTGTTTGGTCTCTCTTTTAACTCGACTTATTGAAGGTGCTGTCTCTTGTATCAGACGACAAAATTGGAAATTACTATACTCTCAGGAAATGAGAGATTTTGTCGCCTTTTCTCGTTTGTTATTTTGTTTTTAAAAATCCGATTTTTTTTATACCTACACTTTAAAAAAATGCAAATTTTTGCCGCCCCTTAGATTGTTATTTTGTTTTTAAAAATCCGATTTTTTTTATACCTACACTTTAAAAAAATGCAAATTTTTGCCGCCCCTTAGATTTGCCGCCATGGGCTGCGGCCCATGTGGCCATCCCCTTAATTCGGCCCTGCGGACAAAGTCCCACCCCCTCTACCTTGTTCTGTAATAGTGTAAGTCACTCCGCAAGGAGATTATTCTCCGCTTCGCATTCATATCCCTCGGGGGTTTTTGAGTGCTGTATACACTCCGGCACAGAATTTCACTCCAATATTTTTAATAGTGCAGGACCAAAGACGCCATTGTCCCAAGCCATCGGCACCTTTGACATCGAGACCCTCGAATTGAATGTATCTCTCAACAGTGCGACTGGCGCTTACATACTACTGCCGTGGTAGCGAAGACAGCATTAAGCACAGAACTTAAGCTTCCAGAAAACGGGCTCAAAAGCTTATGACCGGAAAATTCACTTTTGGAAATAAGCCTCCGTTCTTTTTCAAATTGCCACTAATCGACCAAAAGACTCCTAGAAATCGTTCGGAAGATTAAAAATCGACTGATTTTATTTCAGTTACATAGAAAGGGTATTTTTCATTCTCACGATAGGCTATTGTCAAGCAAGACGAGAGGAATAATGCCACTTACCGCTGCTTTGTCTAAAACTAAGCCATCTTTTGCGACTTCCTCACGCATGTCTCGTTTTTATACAATTAAGATGAATTTTGCTGTTTTAGCTATTTGAGTGATTTCATCGAAAAGAGATCAGACGAATTTCGAACGAAACTCGATTTCGAAAATTTGAAACTCACTGCTCTCCTGACCATCACGGCAATAGAGGTATTCGTCCTCGCAGCGCCTTCAAACCCGTCCGACGCAACCGCGCAACCCGGAGCCCGAGCATGTCAACCACCGCACTTAAGATTCACGGACCATCGGGGCGGTCACGCCTCGGGAGGTAACCAACCGTCGGCGCGAAGAAGACGTTTCATTAGGTCACCGAGCGTGCGAGGGCAAAGGACACGACCCCCCCCCCCTTCCTCCGGCGACGTCGACGACGGTAGCGAAATCACGCGGAAAACCCGCGCGAAAGGGAACGGCGAAAAACGGGAAACGAAAACAGCAATTAAAGTATAATTTTTCAGCGTTAAAACGAGGCGAGTGGAAAAAGTCGCGCGTGGTGACGCGCGCGGGTAAAACCACCTAAGTTAGATGGAAGAGCGTACGAAATAAGGGTGGTTTGGCCGCGCGGAGCGCGGCCAGGACGAGAGGAGGAAGAGATAAAAACGCGGGCGGGTGGGAAAAGACTCGACTCGACTCGAGATGGGGGTGGGAAAGGGAGCCATTTGCCGGGTGAGGGATGAGCGAGGGTGGAGTGCGCTGATGCGTGAGGGAGGATCGTACATCCCTCCAGCCTCCAGCCGGGCGATTGTGATGGCGCGCGGGGCGAGAACCGCGCAACCCCTCAGGGATCCGCGTGGGGCTTAGGCGGTTTGGCCCGGGCGGGATCCCTTCCGCGCCTCAGAATCCGATTGGGCCGCCTAATCAGTATGCCGGGACGAGCGGGAACGCGTCGGGACCCGACCCCGGGAAACGCGGTGCGCGACGCCATGAAAACGCCGTGAAAAGCCCCGCTCCGCGCCGGGGAAAACAAGGGCTTGGGTGGCGGAGAGGAGGGAAAAAATGAAAGATGGAACTCGCTATCGCGCGATCGATCATTGCGGTCGGGTCGCCGGACCGTGGTCGGGGATGATTTGAATGTGTGCTGACGTGTACGATTCAACACTGTTGTAATAAGCAAGAGAGCAGTACTGCCGTGGTAGTGAAGAGAGCAGTAAGTGCAAAAATGAAGTTTTGAGGAAATGAGCTCAAAAGCGTTTCACAGTGGATCGAGTCAATAGAAGCACTGGAAAAAAAAATACATTGGATCTAGAGTCCAGACTCTTAAAAACATCACTAAACATACACTCTAAGAAAAAGTACTCTTGATTCAATCAGAATCTAGCGTAAATCAAGAACCAAGCCTCTTAATTTAAGCGAATTTCGTTTTGATTCAAGCAAAAATCCGATTGAATCAGAAGGCAGAAAAAACACGCGAAAGTAACATTTTATGAGAAGTAACTTCTTTAGTTAAAAGTTCTGCAACTTTTTAAGAGGTATTATTTCACCCCGTGTAAAAAACTCCAGGGCCGGGAAATATCCCTGCTGAGTTGATCAAGTGTGGAACCTGCAAGCTGTTTCAACGGTTGAGATACCTGATGCAAGATTGCTTGGACGGTGGAAAGGTACCGACAGAATGGAAAGAGTCTTGGGTGTCACCTATATACAAGAAGAAGGGTAGAAAAGATGAGTGTGATAACTATAGAGGACTGTCGGTTGCAGGTACCCTGAGCAAAGTGTATGGAAAAATCTTGAAAGCAAAAATTGAAGAGGAGTGGAAAGAACATGAAGCGGAAGAGCAAGCAGGTTTCAGAGCCGGTCGGTCAACGATTGATCACTTATTTACCATCATCCACGTCATAGAGAAAAAGAAGGGAGTTGGCCAGGAATTACATCTAGTGTTTGTGGATCTCCAGAAAGCTTACGATAGTGTGCCATTGATGAAACTTTGGGAAGCCTTGAACAAAAGGGGTTTTAGTGGGGGACTAATTAGTGCTATTAAGGAATTTTATGGTGGGGCTTTCTCTAGGGTTAAATCGCATGGGGAGTTATCGTTGGGGTTTTTAATTACTAAAGGACTGAAACAAGGGTGTTGTTTGTCGCCAACCTTATTTAAAGTGTACCTGGAAGAAGTTTTAAAGGAATGGAAAAGATGCTTTTCGGGAATGGGCGTCCCGCTACGTGAAGATGGCACCCTTTATACTCTGTGCTTTGCTGATGATCAGGTGGTAATAGCTCAGGACGAAGAAGATGCGAATTACATGACGCGGAAGCTAGTGGAAGTATACCGAAAGTGGGGAATGGAAGTAAATGTGGTTAAGACGGAGAAGTTGGTTATCGGTGGTGATCAGCAAAGCATTGAACTGGAGGATGGCCGGAAGATCCTGGACTGTGAAGAGTATAAATATCTCGGAGTTCGGTTAACTAAGGACGGAAATTTGGATCGGGCCATTAAAGATCGGAATGTGCAAGGCAGGAAAGCTATCGCGATGCTAAATGGGGTTCTCTGGGACCAGAGTATCTCCAAGGAGACCAAAAGGAAAATTTACAACGTCATCGTGAAGAGTATCGTAACTTACGGGAGTGAGGTCTGGCAACTTAAGAAAAGAACTGAAGACATGCTTAGGGCAACCGAGATGGACTTTTGGCGAAGGTCTGCTGGGATATCGAGAAGAGAGCGTATCCGCAATGAAAGGGTACGCGAGATAATGGGTGTGGAAAAGGACATCGTGCACGATATCAGGTCCAAGCAGTTGGTCTGGTATGGACATGTGCGAAGGATGGCAGATGATCGGTTGCCCAAGCAGGTCTTCGATTGGGTTCCTCCCGGAAGGCGACGGCGTGGACGTCCTGTGAAAGGTTGGCGACAAGGGGTGGAGGAGGAGATCAGAAGGTGCCAATTGCCTGATGATCTCTGGGAGGATAGGGGGCAATGGCGATTGGGCGTCGCAGAGCGCGAGGCGGCGCTATAATCGCGACTTTATGTATGTATGTATGTATGTATGTAAAAAACTCTACGCCGCGCCGGCGCAAAGGATACTAGGGGTTTTTTTGAATGGATTTTTAAATTTTTATAACTCCACATTGACTGAAAATTAAGCTCCGAAAATCCCAACGTCCTTCAAAGTTACGTTTTATTATTTTTTACCCCGTTTACGAGTCTCTCACCGCCACATTCCCTTCTTATTCCCCATCCAAGAACGCACAAGTTCCTCCTTTACGTCTTGCATTTAGCATCCCAAAACTTTCACACAAAAGCACGCTCTTGAATCCGCGCTTCCAACTTCCGTTTCAGCGTCTCGTAAGTCGTAACCCATCGTCATTTCTCGCGGCCCCCCTCTCGTTCAACCCCCGACTTCCCTCCCCTCCGATTTCGTACACCACCGAACGGAACCCCAGCTCATCCCTGGAACCGCCATCTCTCCCCCACCGCGCTGAAACCGAGTCCTTTGACGTGCGAGCGTAACTGCGTTTCGAG